GGATAAGGAATAACAAAAATAATTAATTTTCTTTATATAACGCAACATGCCTTCATCTAGAGGGTAATGAAAAAATTCAATATGAACAGTCGTGAACCATCACATGTATCAAAATATCCTAAATCACAATTATTGAGTAGTAAAAACACTGGAGGAAATATTGAATCATTCAAAGTGTTAATCGTACATCATGCTGGGTTCAATACGCGATACTAAAAAGGGTTATCTATCGAACTTCCGAATTATGTTTCAAAATGAATTTATATCATGCTGTCGACTTATTGATCGGATATAGAGACCATGAAGCAAAGTTTTGAAGAAATGTAAGGGTATGTAGTCAGGCTACACTTCTGAGTGAAGTTTGCCGTATTGATTACATAACTTTGGTCTACAGCTTCCCCAATTCCATTCATAAAATTCCCCAAAATGACATTTCATTCGATATAATGACAATTGACAGTGAAGGGAGTGGAAGTCTCAACTAATGTCAACCTTTGGGTTTGTTGTCGTTTTTGTTGAATGCTTGTTCTCACGGCACATGTGAATATAATGAAAGCCGATCATCGTGAAATTGAATAACAAACAGTAAAGCTAGTCTTTTATTGATTCCAGTAGGAAGCTAACATATCTGGTGAGTCATATGATATTCTAATAAGACTGTTGTTCCGCGATACAGAGTTAATCGATGTTCAAAGTCGGTATGCCATTTGAGGGACCCACTAACTTAGTCCAAGTTGACAGGAATGAGTTCTTCGGAAAGTCGCATCCCAGTCCTTGCCCCAGCCCTGACCTCACCTTTCGGTTGGAAAAAAATTCGTCAATGAAGCGCAATGATCTTATCTTACGAAAATTGGGGCGCTTGCCGGTTTGCATACGCCTGGGTCACTCCCCGAGGGCAGCAGGTGGCATACGAACCGGAAGTTGAAATTCTTCAGTGTTATAGTCGATGATCTGAAAATGTGAAGCCTTCCCGACATTTGCATACGATTCCGGAGAGGGGAGCTCGACTTATTCGAACATCATTTGACTGGATTGATAATCGATAATCGAAGAAATGTTCAAATTTCAACCATGATGAGTGGACCACACAGTATATATGAGATGATGATTCGCATACAATATGCACATTCCGTACAGGGTGGTTCACCATAAATATCTCCCATTGTAACTTAGTTGTTTCTGAACCGATTTCAAAATTTCAAAAACCAATTGAAATGATTTTCCTAAGAGATTTTTCATTGTTTTGAAAAATCCACAGGCTGTTCATAACAAATGAACTATGAGGTTGTTGTTGATTCTTTTTACTGGAACACTATTGTAAGGGTATTTACCCTTCAAACACTTCCTTAACGCCTCGGATCAGGTTCCACAATTATGTATGATTTTTTCATTTCTTGGGCGCCACCCAGGCGACTATCAGCGAAGGAAGTTCATTCCAGGGGTTCAAACTAATGAAGTGTCAAAGTGACATAAATATTCATTGACTAAGATCTATCTCCCCGAACGTCTGGTTGCTCTCAGTGAAGATATAATACTGACAAATATAATATATCTACTATTTTATTCAGCACTAATCAATACCTTCAATCACATCTTAATCTACGAAGATATAAATTTATGTATATACCAATAGTTTATTTACAATTCTCCAACTGAATGCCCACAAAAACAAGCAAGCACGGAATGCTCGGAATTAAAAAACAATCTGGAAAGTGAAGTCGCCACCGGAGGCAGAAGTGAAATCAGGACGTGAATGTAGAATTGCCACCGGAGGCGAAAGTAGACTGCGACTCTATGATCACTCATCCGATCTGGAGAGTCCGATTTCATAGAACCAAGCTCAATATACAAGCAAAAATTACTGGTTGACATGCAAAGGGAGCTACAACGATTATTTTTCTAATCAAAGCAGACCAAAAGCACGAGCAGCAGGCGTGATACACGAATTCAAACAAAGTAGCAACAGTTAAGCATATGCAGTATTTTAGCCTCAGCCCCTCTCAACAGAACGTAGGCTTTGGAAACCAGGAAACCCCACCTTTTCGAAGCCGTTATTCTCCGAGTTTTTGTCCAGAAAATTGAGAAAACCCCTCTTTTCTAGGACAGGAACTCGTCTTTCTCCTAGGAACGGTAGTAATGTGAACCGATAAACCCCGCCTTCACAGAGCCAGAATTCCCCGAGTTTTTATCCAGAAAATTGATTAAACCTCTTTTTTCTAGGACAGAAACTCGTCTTCCTCTCGGGAACGGTGACAATGTTGACCGAGAAACCCCGCCTTCATAGAGCCAGTATCTCCTGAGTTACTGTCAAGAAAATTGAGAAAACTCCTCTTTTAAAGGACAGGAACTCGTATTTCGCTCAGGAACGGTGACAATGTGAACCGAGAAACCCCGCCTTCACAAAGTCAGTATTCCCTGAATTGTTGTCCTGAAAATTGAGAAAGCCCCTCTTTGTCGGGACAGCAGTTCGGTCACTTTCAGTCCCTACTCACTGAGTTCGGCTTAAACAGAGAAACCGTATGGTTAGTATCGTTATAAGTCAGCTCACCTATTGATACAACTGGTTTTTCAGCTTGGCAATAGCTTTCGGGTCAGGTCAAGTTCGATAGCTGTTGCGGTCTCAACAACTGCCGTTCTCATGCGCTGCTCGCGAGTATATAGCCAGATCCCCTCCCATACCGATAGTGGGGTACGCGATCGGTCGTCGCTTGACCGATATCCTCGGCGCGGTGCTCTCGCTACAGTTTGCCCATCACGCTGCTGTTATTATTCAATCGTTAATGAATCGAATCATCAAACAATAGTTTGGACACGTTCGCAATATTATTTAAATATTATACAAAAAAGAACAGCGTTGCTAGCTTGCTTTTCACCCCAATGAAATTCAGTAACCTTTTAACTGAGATATAAACCTGAAATCTAGTAACTTCGTTACACTATATATTTTTATTCCACTATCGAGATGAGATTATCATGACAAATACAGCTCCACAGCATCAAGCGATATCATTTACACGCAGCACTCTTATAGCGATTATGAGCAAAAGCATCAAATTGTGCCAGGAATATGAATCCCGTGTTTGAAGTATTTTCTTTTTCCTTTGCTGACACAATGGTGGGTACGATTTCAATTAGTACCTTGGTGAAGCCCTTCCAGCAGAGGTTGGTGACATAATAATCTCTGAGATCTCAACTGACCAGTATCAGGTATATCTTTCGATCATGCCAATATTTTTTAATGATTATATCCAATCAAATCAACATTCTTACTAACAGGTACTGATGACAACTCTGGAGGATTATCTCCAGATAGCGAGAGCAAAGATTACTCTGAAGATAATGATAGAGAGGACGACGTATAATTCTTCCTTTGGAATATAATGTTGTTTCCATTCAATATAATTTCATTTTCAAATATTTTTTTTATGTGAAAAACAAGAATGAAGATTAAAGTTCAGGATACAGACCCCACACGCTACCCAAAACATACAGCAGATCGAATCTACATTCTTTATATATTGCTTTGGCGCTGGTATCATGATAAACAATCCAATGAGCCCCAGGGAAAAATTTCAATTCGATTTATTGTGAGTTCCGATCATGAGCAATAATCCATCCCTCTTTTCCCTGTACGATTTTTCTTGATCATCCTGTGAGTATTTTGTCGTCATTTTTTTCATCATCTTCCTAAAGCCCCGTTCCTCGAATCAAAATCACACAAGGAAATATCTTGATACTAAACCTCTCACAAATGTAATTTTGTCGAGCAGTAAATTTCTGAAGAATAAAAACAAATATATTTGCAATTCGCGTCTCCAAATACTCCCATCACTCCCAGGTAGTTAATCTTTGACCTGGTTTCATGTGAAGTGAGATAATGAGACCACCAGATTATTTAGTTCGCTTCCGGTACACCTCTGGCTTGCAGTGCGGGACGCCGCGCTGGACCGAGGCACGCGCGGGTTTGCCCATCACTACAACGTATGCTCACATCGTATGTAAATAGGATTCAGTTATACAGAATATTCTAGTTTATCGGTCCTGAGATGTGCATACGATCCTAAATCATCGATTATTTGAAAGCTGTCTAGTCAATTGATGTTCGAATAAGTCGAGCTCCCCCCTCCGGAATCGTATGCAAATGTCGGGAAACTGATAGATGGGTCCGAATCCATTGTTTCGCCAGAGGGCATACATTCCCAAATTATCGACTATAGCACTGAAACATTGCCACTACCGGTTCGTATGCCACCCTTGGAGAGTGACCTATGCGTATGCAAACCGGCAAGCGGCCCAATTTTCGTGAAATAAGATCATTGCACTTTATTGTCGAGCTTCTTTTCAAACAAAATTTTGAATTTTTTTCCAACCGAAAGGTGAGGGCAGGGCCAGGGCAAAGACTGGGTGCGACTCTCCGAAGCACTCCTACCTGTTAACTTGGACTTAGTGATTGGGTCCCTCAAATGGCATGCCGACTTGAAACATCGATAAACCCTGTATCGCGGGCCAACAGTCTATCAGGTATTCGCTCCGAATATCAAATCTACATAATTGAGTTCAATGATAGCAGTAGGAAGGGTAGTACCTACAAAAACCAATTTCTCGGATTCCGCCCGGACGAATGAGGTGAGTAACTATATTTTCCCCTGATGTAGTGATTTCAGGGATAATTGATATTTCTCATTCGTTTGGTTCGTTCGGAAATAAGAATCTCAGATGGTTTTATAATTTACCATTGATTTCGATATTCATTCTGTTGATAATTTTTGAAAGTTGGACAAATATTCAGCTATAATCTACACGCCATGACGTGTGACATCAGTGGACATGCGCATTTTGCATCTCTCTCAAACAAGTGCCCGCTACGCTGATTGAACACTCCTTGTCTCTGTCTATTCTCCTTGATTATGGATATCTGATGGTGTTACCGAACTAATTTGAGTGATTACTTCGGAACAATGGAACTGAATTTGTCACCACAATTGGCCCATTGTACTTACCAAGGCAAGCCTGTGTTTGTGGTTCACCATAGTAACCCCAATTCATATCTGTGAACATCAGATATGCGCTCATTCCAGGAATATCAGAGAAATCAGTTTCTGGTCCACCCGCTTCGAGTAGGAGAATTTTCCAATCGGCTATTTCTGAAAGTCTGTTAGCCAAAAGTGTGCCAGCTACTCCACCTCCTACTATAACGAAGTCGAAAGTGCCATAATCTATAAGAATGAAACAAAATATCTATAAACATTCTCAGATATATCATTAACATTAAGAAATGGATATGTTCATCAAGAAATACATTGAAAATTCGCAATATCTATTGAAAATAAATATCTATATTCCTCTAGTATATTCAACAGAGAACAACTTCTATCCTGGCAATATTCTACGACAAACATTGAATTATATCCATCGAACACACCCGATGAGAATTCGAAATAAAATCTTCTGAAGATGAGGATTCACTTTCTCATTCAGATTTGAATATATATGTTAGTATATATATCAATTTTGAACATGGAAGAATTGATTTATATTATATATATACCGGGTGTCCCATTTTAATCTTTATTTGGAAATTTCTCGAAATGTATGCATCTGACAAAAAAAATTGACGAATAAAAGTTGTATGGTTTGGAGGGGGACGTCTGGTTATAAAACAAGTTTCACCCCCTGACCCCTAGGGGAGTGGGAAATGGAGGTAACATTGAAATCTTTAATGGAAACCCCTATTTTTTATTGCAGATTCTGGAAGAGCATTAAAAACTATGAAGCTTTTATTCGAGAACTTCTTTTTTATTTTCACAAGATGGCGCTGCGATCGTAAAAAACAATATTTCACTATTTACACATTTCAACCCCCTGAAGACGAGGAAGAGTGTAGGGTGTGATATTTTCCCAGACAAACGCCATTGGGGTGATATTCACACGACAAATTAACGCTAAACGAACTTTCTTACCTTGACACCTCTACATAGAAAAGAGAAAAATAAGCATGTTTCAGCAATCAAGGTATCATTTAGGTCAGACTAAAGCTGGTTTTGAGTGAGATTGACCACTTTATCAAGTGTTCGAAATGACCTCCATTTTCTTGAATACACAAGTTCACTCGTTTTTCAAAATTCCGCATTGTCGCTTCCAACATAGCAGGCGTTATCTTTCATATTCTCTCGTGTGGTTGGGGGTTCGCGAAACAATGATTTTGATGTAACCCCACAGAAAGAAGTCTGGGGAAGCCAAGTCGGGTGATCTGGGTGGCCAACTACAAACTAAATAGTAAAATATTGTTTCTCAAGATCGCAGCGCCATCTTGTGAAAATAAAAAAGAAGTTCCTGAATAAAAGCTTCATAGTTTTTAATGCTCTTCCAGAATCAGCAATAAAAAATAGGGGTTTCCATTAAAGATTTCAATGTTACCTCCATTTCTCACTCCCCTTGAGGTCAGGGGGTGAAACTTGTTTTATAACCAGACGTCCCCCTCCAAACCATACAACTTTTATTCGGTAATTTTTTTTGTCAGATGCATACATTTCGAGAAATTTCCAAATAAAGATTAAAATGGGACACCCGGTATATATACAGGGTGTCCCTAAAAGGTGCGGAAAAAAAACTACCACAAGTTCCTGAGGCGTAAATATGACGATCTAACTCAACTTACCTCAGTCCAAAAGTGGATGATTTCAGAGATACAGAGTGTCAAAAGTTCAATTTGATTTCCATTTTTCATAAATATTTTCTTTAATAATTGGTGTATTGTCACAATATTCGGCTTGGAGGGGTTTTGCTGGTTGAGAAATTAGAATTTGCTATCATTTCTATTGTTAAATTAAGAGGGCGCCACTTGCGGAACCTTGCACACATTTAAAACAAAATAACTTTTTTGAGCCACCCCTTATTCAATTTTTGAACGAAAATTCGAATTGTCCAACGTCTTTTACATAAAAAATGTATACGTGGTAAGAGTTGATTTGAGCAGCTGTTTTTGAGATATCTGGATTTTGAAAATTCACTTCGTAAATGGCCAGGTCTAACTTATTGTAATAATATAATCAAACACATTCAAATTTGAATATCAAAATTAGAATTGAAATAACGGCACTTAAAACTGACTTGGGTCAAATCGAATCTGAAAAACAATTCAAGACAATTGTCAAACAAATAATAGAGTCCTTTTTGTCATGGCCGCAATGTATACCAACGAAGAAATGACCGATATGTTATTGGTTTTTGGATATTGTCAGGGAAATGGTTCAGAATCTTGCAGAGTATACAGTGAAAGATTTTCTAATCGTCGCTCACCAAACCATTAAACCTTCGCGGCAGTTGAAAGACGTCTTCGTGAAACGGGTAGGTTTGCGCCTGTTTCTATTAATTATCGCCGTGCACGTACGGCAAGAACTCCAGAGGTTGAGGAAGAAATTTCAAATAGGATTGAAGAAAATCCTAAACTCAGCAGCAGACGATTGGGATTAGAGCTAGGGGTATGTAAAAATACTGTAAATAGGACGACCAGAGAACAACTACTGCACCCATTTCATGTTCAACGGGTACAAGATCTTTTACCCCATGATTTTGAAGCACGCCCAGCTATCTGCGGGTTCATCCAAGAACACAGAAATCCAGATAGGAATTTTACACAAAGAATTTTATTCACAGATGGAGCCTGTTTCACGCGGAGTGGAATCACTAATTTGCACAATGAACATGTCTATGCCGAAGAAAATCCCTATGCGACTAAAGTAACCCATTATCAGCATGAGTTTAAGGTCAATGTGTGGGCAGGAATCATAGGCACTTTCATACTTGGTCCTATCATTCTACCACCTCGACTAAATGGCGAAAATTATTTGGAACATCTGCGAAACGAATTACCAAACCTATTAGATCCCCTACCCTCAGAACTTCGCAGGGTAATGTGGTTTATGCATGACGGTGCTCCTCCGCATTTTTCAATTAACTTACGAAATTATTTGAATGAACAGTATTCAAGTAGATGGATAGGTAGAGGCAATGACGCACCTGCAAAATGGCCAGCTCGGTCCCCTGATTTGACACCGATGGATTATTTTTTATGGGGAGCTTTGAAAACCCTTGTGTATTCTAGGCCAGTGAATACAGAAGATGATTTGAGGAGACGTATTCAAACTGAAATTGACGCTTTGAGAAATGATGACGGATTGCTTCAAAGTGTTCAATTTGTGTTTTTAAAACGTATTTATCTTTGTACACACGAAAATGAAAGTCATTTTGAACATTTGGTAAAATCATTTTTTTTTTAATTGAATTAAATCAAACTTTTGTTGTTGATAAATCTCCTATTCCTATTCCAAATGACTATTTTTACTAGAGAATGAAATTACCAACACATTTATGTACCTTCCTCCTTTTTTTTTCTAAGTTTTTAGTGACGTTATTTCAATTTACCGCTTCCGCTTCAAATGTGTTAAATTTTATTATTACAATAATTTAGACCTGGCCATTTACGAGGTGAATTTTTAGAATCCAGATATCTCAAAAACAGCTGCTCAAATCAACTCTTACCTCGTTTACATTTTTTATGTAAAAGACGTAGAACAATACGAATTTTCATTTGAAAATTAAATATGGGGTGGCTCAAAAAAGTTATTTCGTTTTAAATGTGTGCAAGTTCCCTCAGATGGCGCCCTCTTAACTTCACAATGAAAATGATAGCAAATTCTAATTTCTCAACCAGCAAAACCCCCCCAAGCCGAATATTGTGACAATACACCAATTATTGAAAAAAATATTTATAAAAAATGAAAATCAAATTGAACTTTTGACACTCAGTATCTCTGAAATCATCCACTTTTGGACTGAGGTAAGTTGAGTTAGATCGTCATATTCACGCCTCAGGAACTTGTGGTAGCCTTTTTTCCGCACCTTTTAGGGACACCCTGTATATAGTCGAAGAATATCTTCCCTATCGTCATTACCAGCATTTACCTTGATTCAGAATTACTCTATCTTTATTTTCGAGACATACGATTCATTCTCATTCAGCAGAGGTCTTTGTGTCATTCAGTTTCACGAATAGTATTGCATCCAGCTATATATTTGAGGTTCATTCAACGATCTTCATTGCACCCCGTATATACATTGGTGCGTCCAGCGATGTTGCCAGACTGATATCATCAGTACATTATTGCGTCCGAATATTCATCATGAAGCAAATCTTCAATACCGATATAATATTGTTCGGTATTGAGATGTATTTGATGAGTTGCCCGACATTTTGACAATAAAAGGTAATGTATCAAACGGCACCTATGTCACCCTCTATTCTGGGAGGATCGAATGGAAAATAACACCTACCTGTGCGAGATGAGAATAATGCTATTCAATGACAATTGGATAAAGAAGATCTGAAAACTCTACCTGTGTCACCCCTCAATCTGACTCGAATATTTGGCGCAGATTTTTCTGCTGCCGTCATTCCGCTATGATTTTCATCACGTAATGATGAGTTAGAACAGAGTGATCCCCTCTTCGCGGATAGGGGCAGAAAATATTTTGCTTATACCTGAAAATGATATCTGATGAACCATCGGTTCGATGAACTTGTTCATCTTCAGACAGGGGCAAAATGTTCTCGGGAATATCAGCGCTTTCTCATCAACTGATATCTGGTTTAATCGCGTCAAGTTAGAATATTTGCGAGGGAGCAATATCCCCTTGTATTCGCATTCAGTTTCAACTCTTAAACACGTCATGGAAGTAGAAAAAATTTTTGTGCTGAGGATTTGAGCCAACTCAAGGGGTAACACAGGAAGGGTTGCAGGTGGAATTTCCTGATCATTTCGCTCAGTTCATTGATTGGCCTAATAACACAAAACTATCCGATGGATGTCCATCGAATGAACGTACATGGACATGCTGAATATATATTGGTTGATTCAAGATGTCCAGATTCTATTAAATTGACATCCATTGTCAACCAATTGGCCACAATCTTGGATGTCCATCCTGTATATTGTATATCGACTGTTGAACTTTTGTGATGAATTGAATACCTACAAGACATGAATCCTTGGAGTATAAAATATGAATTGAACAACTACACAGTATACCAATTGTACAAACAATGTGCATGAATTGACGTTTTCACGTATAAGTTTCGGACAAAATGAACCAAACTCTCCCCCTATGTGTACGAATATATTTTCTCATAATTTGGTCTCAAGAGTTCTTTACTCGTTGAACACGAAACATCCAACAATCAGACATGAAGCTAAATACGTCTTTTGGGACTTATAGGTCTCAGATTAATACACACCTAACATCAGGTGAGTACTTCGAAGGCGCAAATTCATTCCTGTATGGAAGATACCCTTCAGATTTTCAGGTATTCAGTGACTTGTCAACCAATGACATTCCGGAA